CATAAAAGAGTAATACAAGACATTAGTATTGTAAACATCCGAGTTTACAAGTATAAGGACCCAATTTACCATATGAATGTTCCCATTTACCCTAATATTGTACTACATGTCTTTATCTTTGTAAATTACGATATTACAAGATTAAGGATAGGTTTTACAATGTTCTGGAACATAACTATCCATAAAAGAGTAATACAAGACATTAGTATTGTAAACATCCGAGTTTACAAGTATAAGGACCCAATTTACCATATGAATGTTCCCATTTACCCTAATATTGTACTACATGTCTTTATCTTTGTAAATTACGATATTACAAGATTAAGGATAGGTTTTACAATGTTCTGGAACATAACTATCCATAAAAGAGTAATACAAGACATTAGTATTGTAAACATCCGAGTTTACAAGTATAAGGACCCAATTTACCATATGAATGTTCCCATTTACCCTAATATTGTACTACATGTCTTTATCTTTGTAAATTACGATATTACAAGATTAAGGATGCATTTTACAATCACATAGAACATAACTGTCCAAAACCGAGTAAAACAAGACCTTAATATAGTAAAAGTTTGTGTTTACACATATAAGGACTCAATTTACTTTCCTAATGTCCCTAGTTACCTTAATATTGTACTAAACGTCCTTCTCTTTGTAAATTACGATATTACAAGATTAAGGATGCATTTTACAATCAAATGGAACATAACTGTCCAAAACCGAGTAAAACAAGACCTTAATATAGTAAACGTTTGTGTTTACACATATAAGGACTCAATTTACTTTCCTAATGTCCCTAGTTACCTTAATATTGTACTAAACGTCCTTCTCTTTGTAAATTACGATATTACAAGATTAAGGATGCATTTTACAATCAAATGGAACATAACTGTCCAAAACCGAGTAAAACAAGACCTTAATATAGTAAAAGTTTGTGTTTACACATATAAGGACTCAATTTACTTTCCTAATGTCCCTAGTTACCTTAATATTGTACTAAACGTCCTTCTCTTTGTAAATTACGATATTACAAGATTAAGGATGCATTTTACAATCAAATGGAACATAACTGTCCAAAACCGAGTAAAACAAGACCTTAATATAGTAAAAGTTTGTGTTTACACATATAAGGACTCAATTTACTTTCCTAATGTCCCTAGTTACCTTAATATTGTACTAAACGTCCTTCTCTTTGTAAATTACGATATTACAAGATTAAGGATGCATTTTACAATCAAATGGAACATAACTGTCCAAAACCGAGTAAAACAAGACCTTAATATAGTAAAAGTTTGTGTTTACACATATAAGGACTCAATTTACTTTCCTAATGTCCCTAGTTACCTTAATATTGTACTAAACGTCCTTCTCTTTGTAAATTACGATGTTACAAGATTAAGGATGGGTTTTACAATGTTTTTCGATAACATAATTCAATTCTCATCATGTCGCACAATTCAATTAAGTGCGTCAAAGGTTGGCCATGTTTTTTTACAGTGACTTGAAGTCTCAAAAATTAGAGCTCCGGTGTGACCATGAAAAAGAATATTAAAGTCCAAAGTGGTCTAAGAAGATGAATAACATAAAGTCTCAACCATCTGTGTAGAAAAACTTAATCACAGAATCCATATGTATCAACACATCAAGCACAACAAGGGGAGCAAGTTTATACCTTGGCTCAAAGTCCAATTCGATCAGGAAGTGGCCAGATTTTGAGGAAAACCCATACTGACTTCCTTATTTCACAATGAAAGGAATCACAACTTTGTTAGATTCAGACACCCACATCCACAAACAAGAAACCTCAAACTAGATATTGTCTTTATATAATTTCAACACAGCCATTAAACTGGACTTACAGCAAAAAATTTGAATATCTTTCTAATCATTTTTTCTCCTTTAAGACTTACTTTTTTTTTCTCTTTCTGTTTTCCTAAGAGACTAAAGTGCAAATATGATCAAGTTTTCATACAAATGTGGCTATTTACTATTGAAAGAATATTAATCTAAAATGACCAACTATGAAATTTAATATATAATAAAAGTCATAAAGGCATAACTAAAATTGAATTGCCTTAACCTTGAAATTTTTACAACAAAAACCATAATGGCAGCTTCAACAATTACGCAGCTTCTCCTATTAAAAACACTAATTACTTTATACAAAGGGAAAATGTAATCTTATAAAAAGAAAAGATTAAAAAGTGATAAAAACTCTAAAATATGAAATGAAAGCTGACACAAGAAAAGAATTCACATTAATCTTTTAGAAAAATAAAGATAGTCATCAAGCTAATAATTGTCAAGATATATGAACTCAACAACACTATAATTTTTAACAAATAAAACCATGTAAAGAATACACACCAAGAACGAGATACGGTAGAGCATGCGCCATGACCTTGCCCCAAACATCGAATAAAAATTAGTTTCAATCTCCATCACCCACCCAAAAAAAACTCAGTTCTAACACAAATAGGCACTAGATCTAACATTAAAACCTTCAATGACCCATAAATTGCAGCCATATATGACAGAAATACTGATGAAATTGATAAAATCTTACCTTTTCTAATGAATTTCAGTTTTGGAAAGGGATTTAGGTGTCTAGGATTAGGGTTTTATGTTGGAGATTTGGGGGTTTTGGTATGAGAGAAGCAGAATGAACCCAGAGAGGTAGCGCTTGACAAGAGAGAGAGAGAGAGAGGGAGAAAGAGAGATGGGTTTTGAGAGGGCTAGCCAAGAAAAAGAGGCAAAAGAAGGAAATTTTCAGAGCGCTAGCCAGCGAAGGAGAGAACGAGAGATGGGGTAAAGAGCAGGTGAAGCTTGCCATCATCGTCGTCGTCGTTGGTTGCTTGCTGGATGCTAGAAGAAGATGAAGGGAGTGAAAGAGGGGGCTCAGTTTTTACGGGTTGGGGATTTTCCTTCAACCTGCTGAGAAGGTTTTCAAGTTATATCATTTAATGGTGTAGATCTATCCTTATTGTTTTGCCTAAATCTAACGGTCAATATCCATTGGCGCATGGATGCGCCAGGTCCACCGTAGAATTTTCCGTACATTTAACATCATTCGATCCAGTCATATGGTTTTGAAATTTAGATATTCAATCTAGTCCTTCAAAATTATAAAAAAATCGGTCATAAATATATTTGATTGGATTCATCAGTTGGATTGAATCGATCGATGTAAGCGGATAGCGTCAAATAGGTCGAATTAGTTCGGATCTTTCAATTTACAAAAAAGCCCAAGTTCAACTAACAACATTAAGCCCAAAAGAGGTGGGCTCAACTGATTACACACAATCATCGCACATCAGCATTCTTTACGGACTACGGCGTAAAAAGCCTTTTCCCACATTTTCTATTTTCTCTTTCTTTGTGTGTTTGGCTGCTGAGAAAATTCTTGTTTGGAAAAGGAAATGGAATTTGAAGTCGATGAAGTGGATCCAGTAGGTGTGCCAGGCTTAGTTGAAATGTGTGCTTTGCACTTCTAAAAGAATTATATTTTTTTCTTCTTAAAAACAGCCCATCGCGGTCGCAGGACTAATTTTTCCAATTGGGGCGACCCACAAACGTGGCCCATGGGTTGATGCATTTGGGAAGAGGCCAAATAAACGTAAAATGTGAATAAATATAATTATATAAAAAAAAATAGAATTCATATTTTAAGTGTTGTTATATTTCATTAATCTAAAGAAGAAAAAAAAAACAAAAATTAATAGAGCTATAAAACTAAAAATATTAAAACGAAATTGTATAGGGTAAAGATGACAATAACTCGTCAATACCAAATACAAAACGAAGCTGTACCATTACTCATTGTTGACAAAAACACCAATCACCAGCTCCTTCTTTTTTCTTCTTTTTTATGAGAAAAGATTGTATTTCATTAAACCGAAAAGAAACATTGCATGATAAGAACTAGCATATTAATGGCGGCCTCGTTAAACCTTCTCAGATAAATAAAACCCCGAAGTAGGAAAGAATAATTACCTTAAAAAGAAATTTTTGATGATAATAGAAAAAATAATTATTAATTTTGCACGATTTTTCTATACAAAACCACTCACATAATAATTGCATATGTCCAATTAATATCTTGTCTACATAAATATTATTTAATACTAGATCGATCAACTGTCCCATGACACAATGTACCCGCCGCGGGGTATCTTCTTTGTTGTGCAATGACCATTTCAAGAATAATATATCTTGTCATTGACAATTGTCATTGCCAGAATCGCAAGGCAAGGCATTACAATTTTGTATCCCACTAATGGAAAGCCAAATTGCATACTTGTTTGTTGCCCCAATTTGTTTATTCTCAATTGACAGTCTGTTTTTTGAGAGAATCTCAAATCACATTTTAATAGACAAACTTAGATACATTTTAATTCGTTCTTGCCAAAAGATTGCATTGAGATTGTGTAGTCCAAGCGATGATAAAATATCAAATATTCGAATATAATTATAGGTTAGATTAGTTGAGCAGAGTTGTGTATTCATCTGGTTCGTCCATTTTCATTCAAATTCGACTTCTCTCAATAAATTAGAATAATTTAAATTATCTTTTTGTAAAACAAAAGTCAAATCTGCCGATAACTGATTCTCATATTAAATTCAAATCTGTTTAATAAATTGGATAAGTGGTAACTCCCCCAATGCTCGCAATTGCATTGCAGTGTTCCAAATTCCAATTTGAATCGGAGTTCAAAACTCAGATTTCACCAAAACACACACAATAGTAGCCGTTAATGAGCCGTTAATTCCGTTGTAGGCCCCGCCCAAATTGTAGAATCCGAGATGGCTTTGAATCATCTCCACTCAAAAAACACAACAACACATGACTCAGCGACAACCTAGCTGACAGACTGTCCACCTAAAAAGAATTACAAAACAAAAAAGCCCACATGGGCCACGTCACCAAATTGACACTAAATAAAATAAACCCAAAAAAAACCAAAATAATAATAAAATAATAAAGCAATTCCCATAGGGAGGCCTGCCTTATTCTTCTCTTGCTGGCCTCTCTTCACCAGTCACCAGTCACCACCAAAACCTCTTTATATATAAACCAAACTCTCTCTTCCCCCTCCTCACATTCTCTGCTTCTCTCTCTCTCTCTTTCAATTGGGTTCTGCTCAATTTTCTCTGTTTTTTTTTCCTCATTTAAAAAAAAAAAAAATGGCACTTTGCTTTGGTTATTCAAAAGCCATTTTCAGAGTTTTGTTAGTCTCTGCATTTGTCTTCTTTGCCATTCTATCTCCATCTGCTGCTGCTACTACAAAGCCCTCAGCTTCTGCTCCTTCCCCTGCCTCCACCCCTGCTCATGCCCCTGGCCCTTCCAGTGATGGTAAATTCTATTTTCTTAATGTTACATTTTCCATTTCATTTCTTTGTTTATAATCAGATCTGAAGGCATTTTGTTCATTCTTGTTTTTGGGTATTTTATTTTATTTTATTGGCATTTGGGTTTTGTTTTCCTTTCTGGATTGAGCATTGGGTTTTTTTTTCCCTTATTAATCTCATTGTTTAAATTTTTTATTTTTGGAAAATTTTGCAGGGACTTCCATAGACCAAGGGATTGCATATGTGCTGATGCTAGTGGCTTTGGTGCTTACATACCTCATTCATCCTCTGGACGCATCATCTTCCTACACTTTCTTTTGAATGTTGGGATTCTTTTTTAGGTGAATTAGAAAAATGGATGGGATTTTATTTGTAGACAAATGACCAAAAAAAAATTTGGTGTTGTTTTTTTTTTTTCTTTCCATTATGATTTATTTGACTGTGATTGTGCATATATGAATTAGATAAAGTAATGAATGGCAATGTTTGAGGCTGATTAGGCTTCTAGTAGATCGTTATCAAATTATTGTTCCTTTCTTCATTTCTGTTTCATTCTTTGCTTGTATATATTGACATGTTCAACTTTAATGTGAAGATATACAAGTATGTTTCATTTCTTCATCATCATTGTACATGGAACCAAACAACACAAAAGAAACTTTTTGCAGTATGAGACTGTTTGCCAAGATTGTCTCATAATTTGATAACAACCGGAGTTGTGCTTTCGGTTTTGATAACTTGGCAGCGGTTGCTACGCCATATCGCTGTGGCATTGAGACCCAAATGCATCCTTCTTCAACTCCCATGGGAGTTCCCAAAGCAACTCCTATCCATAATGGATGAAGCCTCCATTACTCCATTGATTTTTAAATTTTTTAGATTGCCGGCGACAAAGGCTCGTATGTACCCAATTTGAGTGGTATTTTTAAGATGCTGCTATTAGCGCACTTAAAATCACTGAATAAATAAAGTCACTGTTTGCAATATATTTGAACTTCAATTATATAGATCACTTTTTTCTCTGAGTTTGAATGATATCAACAATTTGAAAATACAGCTGGTGATTTCAACCCAAAGCTTAAGAAAGTTTAAACAGAACTTGGATATCAACAATTTATCTTGTATTGCAGCAAAGAAAATATTTCCACTACTGTGCTGCAATCAAAGACTGAATGTTTAGAAGGGAAAAACTTTAAATCCTGGCATTCCCGGGATCCATGAAGACAATCTTTTATTCTCCAAAATTGCTGTGTTCTGTGCTTTTGCAGCCTTTCTCCACCACCATGACAGGAACATTGTGATTCCCACAAAGGAAATCTCATAATTTGTGATTTCCCCCCTCTCAAGGTAGGTGTCTGATTGAAAACCTTGTAAGCTTTGTACAAGTAAACCACAATCCCAAAACCACAATCAACGAATGTGTCACGTTTAATCATTGAGTCAGAAGTCTATAATATAAAAAGTACTTGACAACTTCATAAGAGGAGACGACTATCCCAACAGAAGGACCGGCCCTACCAACACGAGGAGCAACTCCCATAAACAGCCCCTTCATCCCTCCATCCCTATTCGAAACAAAAAGTTCCATGGTTGGTTAAAAACATAGAACATTTGAACATATTATTACAGAATTAACATCATTGCGATTCATTGTTTATATTGCACTTGATGTCTCACATACCTCCAAATTTCAAGCAAAGTTGTTCTTGTTGTCATCTTCAATGCCCTTGCAGGATCCTTCTGCAAAAAGAAAACTGTTAAAAAACAAGCAAAGAAAACTTTATTTCTTTTTTATTTTGGGTGCTCTCGACTCTCGTGAATAAATTCTGTAGCGTCTAGTCTATAGGATTGCTTCTCTGTCTCTTTCGGTACAATACAAGAGAAGAGAAAAGAAAGTCAGGGTGAAGCTTATTATAGAGAGATACCTCTATCTGTCGTCGAGTTTTTGCCACATCTAATGGACATGTAGCAGCAGCTGCAAGGCTTCCTGCAACAAACCCAGCAGAGAAATTAGCTCCAAGGACACTGGCTGCGTTGGCTTCATCACCCACAAGACCAAGAATTCTTCGCCTGATCTGCACAGAAGGGGCAAATAATTATATCAAGCTGTCTACGCCTGCCAGTGCAAGGTATAAGAGGAAACCAGAAGGTAGCTTTTGAATTTCTTGAAATAGTGTAACTCACTGGCTCAAGGGTTGACCAACATATTGCAGAAAAAGGAACATCACGAGCAAGTTGTGCCCCGAGGCCAGTCCACAAGATGCGAGAGTTTTGTACTGTTACAAAAGAAAAATAATAATGTCATCAACAATCTTATCTTAACTAAAGGGCAACCTTAGAACTATTCCAATACAAGATAGGTATGCATCAACCGGTGTCATTTATAGGTTATTACCTGATCATCACATCATCTTGATCAGCTGCAAATCAATTACTTAAGAGATATGGGGAAGTAAAGAACTAACTCAAAAGTATAATTAGGAGTTCACTTACAGTTTTGAAGGAGGTTATTGCTCTTCACAGGGTTGATGACCCCATTCAGTGTCCCCCAAACTCCTGGAGGCTTCACTCCAGCTCGGGCTTCCTTAAATGCCTGCGGTTAATGAAGGGGGCACACTATGAGAAACTTCAATTTTGGGGGGGAAAAGGCTACCCTGTGCATAAAAATAGTTCTCTCCAACTATGTAACCTTAAAGATAAGCAGATACCTGAAGGACACCTCATCTATGATTTGCAAAGTACGAGATACTTTAGACAAGATATAAAGTTAAAAATAATGACTAATAAGTAAGCCTAGATCAAAAAAACATCAAGGTAGTAAATATTCATTGTCTTGTCTGATGTTAATTGTATTGCCGAAATAGGTCATAGATCCTCAATAATAAATCCTAATTTTTTATTGTATTCAGGTCATTAACTAAGATAATTTGTTGTATAGTTACTGAAATCACACTCATGGGATTGGTCAAGAGGTCTTGACAGGGATAGCATAAAACCTATGGATATGAGATGAATACCAGTTCACAAGTCAGGAACAGTGTAAAATGGTGATAAATGACATCAATCTACATCATTAAATACCTGCATGCGCGTCCTTGCGAGTTCAACAGGGTAACAAGAGATGCAAGCTAATGATCGTGCTAGTGACCCTGCAACTAATGGGACATATGGTGTCATATTTGGAGCATTCTGAGTTGTGAAATCTTCCATCAAATTGCGGAAAATGTCATAGCAAGGCATGTAGATCCCCACCTGATTGACAAATAGAAAACAATAACTACCAGCACCACAATTTCCAGAACAAAGTGCATACCACCTTGCATCATCCACAGCATGGGATCTAACACTGCAAGGAACCATTTAGATGAAAGAGGTAATCCTTGGTAAGAGAGAGACTTACAGTTGGTATGGCCAATGTTAAGCTTGCAGTAGTGCCCCTCCAGAGTCTCCAAAATCCTTCCTGCACCAATTTATTCCTGTGAAACCCCTCTAATATTATTAAAAGATTTGCCTACAAACTCATAGGTGATGACCTAAATAAGCAAATAGTCCCTTAATGGGGATACAGTAAGCATGTGGACAAGGCATTGAAAAGTGTCTTAAAACATGAAAAGAAAATGCCATGCATGTAATGTAAGGCATCGCAAATTTCCTAGCGGCACTGGCATACAGTCAAATGATATGATGCAATAGTCGCTTAATAATCACTTTGAAATAATATCTACCATCCAGCATGTTTTAGGTACTTCTCTTGTTCCTTCGTCCGACCGTAGAAAGAAAAAATAACAGAAAACCTAGTTACTCTATCTAAGACTTCACACGGCACTTTCAGGGTTTTCCACTATAAAACAAAGAGAAAGTGAGTGGATTTTTCTGTTCTTTTTAGAATACGAGGTTAGTATAAAATCCATGCCTCTATGACAACAGACAGTAAGGTTCAAAGCTTTGCCAAACAATATGACATCTGCTGGATTGCAAAAGTTGCTGTTTAAGGATAGATACTTGAAATTTTACACAAGGAAGAGGTCATCTATCACATAATGAAACGTAAGTAACTCCTTTTCGGGAGAAGAATCTACCATATATTTAAGTTTTTGTATCAACCAACCTGACGTATGACTTTGAGCAACACATCCAGTGTTCCTTTATACTGGTTACACTCTGGAGGGCAGACGATCTTGGATCCAAGTACTGAACTTGTGCGTGGTGTGGAAGATCTCAAATCTGGAAGCATCTGCAGCCAATCCCAAAGCCATTACTAAAGATGCTTCGTTGCAGAGTAAATAAGATAAACTCAATAAAAAAAACAACTGCATACATACTGTGTTTGTTTCAAAACATGCCACACCACATAGACCCTGATAAGGAACTCCAGCAGCCTGCGCTTGTAACCTTGTCTGAAGGAAATGCAATAAATGGCGCATAAAGTCAGTTAATTTTGATAACGAAAACCTTAAAGTAGAGAACTTTATAAGCATGCAAGCTTCACAAATGACTAATCTCATCAAGCACAGACGAATCAGTTTTGAAAGGACAACTTTTAAATTAATAACGTTATATTAATCCACAACAACCATATATGATCTTCTCAATGGGTTTCTTAAGAAGATAATAGAATCTCAATCACAGCATATGGGAATTTTACTACACAAAACGTCCAAAAGATGAGGAAACGAAAAGCCAAAAATGGGCATCTTCCAAAAAGTCCCCAGAATAGATTATAATATAAGAACCCAATGGGGAATAGAAATTGCGAACCTTGGCAACATCAAGAGGGTTAACGAGAATCGCAGAGACAAAAGCGGCGCCAGCAGCAGAGAGAGCCCTCTCTCCAAAACCCAAATTGGCATCAGATACGCGCATGGCATGGTGCTGCTTTCGCTGTTCTTTGCCATCCTTGAACATGGTATCTACGTTTCCTTCAAAATCAACTCTGCTAGCTGCTGTGCTCATCCATGAAGGCAGGCCGTGTCTCGAGGCCACCATTCGTGTCTGTCTCTCTGTGTTTTCGACGGGTGTATTATTCAATATTCAAAGTTTCTGAATTTTCAATTTTTCGTGGGGAAGACGCGAGTATTGCTTGTGTGTGGGGATGCTGTTATGATTCGTGGCGAAATTGGCGTGGAGCTCAGGGCGCCAAACAATTGGGGCTGATGGTCTTCTCCTCTTAATTGTGGATGTGGATTGTGGATTGTGGTTGTGGACCACTATCGTAGAATTTTCTGGTTGCGCAAAGTCCAAGTTGGAAAAACTCCCACTTGGCTTCAATGGGCTTCATGTAGAAGCTCACTGCAAATTGGGACTTATTTTAATTGGTCTGAAACTGAGCCCAATAGTTTGATTAAGTTAAATTTTTTATATATTAAAAAAATACAAGTTATAGTCTAAATTATGAGTAATGATATTTGAACACACAACATTGACACATTTAGTGACACCCGCTGATGTGTCAATGTATCATTTGCTCTTCTTTTCTCCTCGCTCAGTATCATACAAATGATAACTACCTATTCTACTCTTACAAGTGGATAACACATGCTACATGAAAAAATAAATAAATAAATTTATAGAGACAAGACAAAGAGATACAATCCGGAAACTTTTCACAACAACAAATTATGAGAATGAGTGAAATCAAAGCAAGAATCATCCCCTGCCACAAAAGACATCAAGAGGGCTCTTTGAGATGGTTAATAGACTGGCAATTTTTCCTGCTTCTTTGGAAACCACAAATGGGATCCTTTTTCTGGAGCTGTTGTATAGTAATTGCCTGGTATGATAAGCTGCCATTAGAGAGAAAATGCTAGCGGACACCATGACTAGTTTCACAGCAAAACCAACTCTCTGCCACTTCCTTGAGATGAACAACTTTCTAATGCAATCAGTGAGAAACCTTCTGCTGTGAGCAGCAGGTTCAGATTTTTCTTTCAATCTCTCTTTAAAATCCCAATTGAAAGGGACATTGTTTTCATTGCCAAAACATGCTTTCAATTCTGTCACCACATCAAGTGCCCTTCCTTTATGTTCTGCCACCTTTGCTGATAGATTTACTCTGCTTTCTTCCAACTTGGTGAAGGCTGCATGCCTATCCATCTGCTGCCAAGAACCCATTCTCTGCATGCAGATAGCCAAATGTTAAAAAGAATTTGGGGATGGACAAATTGGCCAATCCATAAAAGCAGGAGCAAGGAAAAAGAAGACGAAATAATGTTGAGGGGCATGTTTACCTGTAAAATCACGAACATGTTATCAACTTCCTTCACTGAGTTTCTAATGTCAACCAACCTCTTCCTCTCCTCAAATGGGGCCTCTGCAAAATCACTGTAACCAGCAGGTTCTGAGCAGAATTTACAAGACCTGCTATTTTCTCTAGTTTCATTGTTGAGCCAGCCTTGAAAGCCCATGCTGTCTTGATGGGAAAACTGCAGGTCTTTCTTAACTCCCTCAAACAAAGACATTGCCCATCAATTAAAACCCACTAATATTGTGGTTTTCAATGTTTTTTCTTTTAATATTCTTTGCACACCAACCATGTTCAATTTTCTCAGCTTTTCCCTTTTCTTCCCTGTGGTTGTTGAGACTTGAGAGCCTGAAACCACATGGAATATAATGAAGGGTAGGCCTTCCCTTCTTCTGTTATAGTTTGCATTAGGTGTTTCCAGACAGACAATCATTTCGGTCACTTTTTCTTTCTTCTTTTCTTAGGTGGTTTTATTCTTTCTTTGAAGGGAAGATTTGATTACAAAAAAAAAAACTGAATGGCTTAGCTGGTCATGCCCCCACACCCTCACTCTCATCACGTTCTTCTTCTTCTCCTTTTTTCTTTTTCTGATAAACACTCATTATGTTGTGTTATGTATGTGATACATGTAGCATAGCATCATAGCATTTATTATACAAAGCAATATTGGGGGAGGGGAAAATCGAACCTAGGATCTCGAATACAGTGTTAAATGCTCTTAATCAACTGAGCTGCAAGTCCCTTGCATAACATCCATCATTTTGTTTAATGGCCATACGCCAACTTGTATTTAAAAACTGTGCACAATTAATTTAGGCCCCATGTGACCAACTCGTTTTGTTGAGAAGGTTACAGAAATAAACTCTACTCATTTCTGTGGGAGAGACAAATTGGGGCCTTTCTCAGACTGGTTTTGCATGAGGCAGAGTATAAACGGAGCAAAGTCAACTACAACAGAAGCTCTGATCCATTTGAATTTTGCTAATTTTAGCTACAAACAATTGACCCTGCTGCTGTACTTCATCACCGCACTCAAAAACATATGCTGTCAAACAATTTCAAACCACATATTTACAAGTGGAATTCTATTTTCAATGCGACCAATGGGAACCTGAAGAGACAAAAAATTTCATTAGGGTAAAAGAAGAACAAGACTGAAAAGGTCATCATACATGGACCTAAAGATCTCTTGCAATTTGCAAATCTCTATCTTTGTTCTTGGTGGTAGGTTGAATGGACCACACTGACCCCACCTGTTCTGATATTCAAAAATCTCTATGATAAATGAGAGAGAACATTTCATAAGATCTCTCCGTGTTCTTCTGCAAATTATATACCTCCTTTTCCTTGGGCTCCCTCTCCCATGATGCCTCAGATTTTGTGGCCCACTTCAAACTAAAAATAGTAAATTCAAATTGAGCATGGTTCAGGCTCAGGCTGAGTAAACTTTTAAAGTGTGGGCTTAATCCCATGTCATACTCATGAACTTTTGGGGTCAAAAAGAGATTAGCACACCTTGTATTTTTAAGGTATTTGGAATAAAAATCTTGGCTTTTCCTGCTTTTTTTTTT